ATCTGTTCTTAGGAGCAGTTAACTCTATTTCACATAGGTCTTTGACCAGCATACATGGGACCGTGCTTTTCTGTACTGAAGGGCGGCCCCTGGTACGGGGGCTCACGATGCTGCCCCTGGTACCAGCACCCGGTCGTCAAGGGGCATCTTTGTACACAAATCTCACCCTGGCAGGGACTGGGTAAGCGGGTAGACAGTACAGGGGGCCAGATGCAGGTCCCTGGGTTCCACTGGAGAGGATATCTCCTGCAGACGAGTATCTGAACTCTTTGCAGTTGCTACAGTGCAACTGCAAAGAGTTCAGATACTCGTCTGGGGGGGGNGGGGGGGGAAGGACTGGCTGGCCCCCAATTCTTCTACTTAGGGTCCTCAAGAAAGCCCTATCCAATCGAAAGAGCTCACTGCTTGGGCCGCTTAGAGGTCATCGTATAGCCCAACATAGACTTGCAGGGCAAGCACCAAGTGAGGGGACGCCCTCAAGAACCCTTCTAGTTTTGCAAGCATTGATATCTGCAGATGCTCACAGCAACCACCGAGCGCAGTGAACCCCCGTGTATGGGGGGATTTTCGTCTTGCATTACTGGAGTTTTAGACCCTTTGCACGATAATGGCAGCTGCGGCGGGTTGGCTGAGTGCCCCATAGGGAGGGTGTGCCGGCCAGATTGCCACTTGTTACCCTCTATGCTGAATTCTCAATGCACCTGTGGGCCGTTGCCCTCTCCCAACTGTTCTATGCTGCCCGCAGGCGCGTTTCGTGCAATATGCCTTCTAAGAAGTGTAGGGCCCTTTGTATCGGAGAGGAGCCGTTGCGCCGGCGGCATTTAGGAATAAGAATTCCCCCGATCAAACTGTCTGGAGAGGGGCTGAAACTGAAAAAGTCGTTCAGAGGGATTTCCAAACAATGTGTGCAGCGCAGACTTTTCTTGTGGCTGCACCACGGCATGGTATCAGTTGCAAGGCCAAGAGAGCTGCAACGGGATTGAACTCAACTCACAGATGAGCCGATGGGCTNATGGTATCAGTTGCAAGGCCAAGAGAGCTGCAACGGGATTGAACTCAACTCACAGATGAGCCGATGGGCTTCCCGGGGCATCCCCTTGTTTGTGACTAAGGAGAAGTCACGGCATTTTCATAGTGTGAAGGCGAGAGAGGCAGACTTCCTTGCCAAGTACCCCCGATCGGGGCTACCTGTGGAAGCTGGGGGCCCCCCGGGGGCCCCTCCACGGGGTCGCCCCTCGTAGCTGGAGAAGTAACCGCCAGGGAATCTAAGAACAACTTATGATTCTTTTTAAAAACTGAATTTGAACTCGAGTTTCGGGCTGAGGCCCCAGGATCTAGGCGTAGCCCGTAGAGTTGGGAGTCAGTCTTCGTGCAGGGCGTCCCGCCCCAGCTGTTGCGTCGGCTGTTGTTCGTCATGCAGAAACTCCTTAAGTGCAATTCACAGAATCTCCCACTCCTTTGAGGAGCCCGTGGACCGCGTCGATCCCCAGTTTTTCCCCTGCAGATGGCTCCGCACGGGGACAATGAGTGCCCATAACGCGGAGCCGCAACTTGAGACAAGCACTCGACCCTCTACTGAGGCCTAAGCAGAGCAGCTCTGCCGTTCAGTTTGTCGGAATCCGTCGTATCTCGGCCCCCTCTTTTCCAGGCCTAGGCCTCTAGGTGTAGGGTTTGATAGGCTTGCCCAAGTAGACAAACCACATAGAGAAGAATATTGCTCTCTATGAATCCCTCGTCTGCTTTTGTGTCTTGGGGCTCCTTCAGGGCCCATGTGAGGCTGATCGCGTGCTTTACTATCCGATATGGTCCTCCAGCCATTGCTTTAAGGACTTTTACCACCAGCTTCTGCAGGAAAGCTAGCCTTCCAGGATGCAGCAGCGGCAAGAGCAGCAGCAGCGCTGGCAGCATCAGTACTGGCAATATCAAAAGGATCCGTGTTCCTGTTCTGATTGTTGGAGGGGGGCCCGTAGGTCTGACTATGGCGCTGCTGCTACAGAAAGGGGGCGTCCCAACTTTGCTGCTGGAGCAGCAGGCAGCAGCTACCTGTCTCCCCAAAGCGCACTACATCACGAACAGATCTATGGAAAGTAAGCGCAAGATGCTACTGCTACTTAGGGACTGCTGCTTTTGCTTCTGCTGCTGTTGCTTTTGGGTGGCGAATGTTTCCTTATTGTGCGTTTGTTTCCCTGTCTCCTCTTCTGTTAAGGTCGTAAGCAACACGTAGCTGCACAGCCCCCTCACTATCACGCAGTTGCTTCGGACAGATAGTCGCACAGCTATGTTACTAACTAGCCACTAACTAGGGCTTAGAAGTTTCGTACAGACCTATCCAAGGTGAGCTGAACTGGGCGCCAGTTGCCTAGCTGGCTGGCTATCGGAATACTGGCCCCAGATGTTCTTAGAACTTGTCTGGCAACTCACCAAGTAAGCCACGCAGGTAGTTCGGTGACCAGCTAGTTTTCGGGCTACCGAGCCGATCAGCTAGATAGCCAGCCAGCTGGCAGCTTTCATGTGCGCTGCAGTTTGGCGCCAATTGGGCCATCTAGACCTCTGCGTCGATGCGCTTTCTCCCTGTCTGAACGATTGGAGATCTTTCATCTACACCACCCAGTTGAATTGTATTGAACGCAACTACTTAGCGGCTGTGGACCACTTCAGGGGTAAATGAATGGCGTTGCTGCTGCATTTAGTGCACCTGCTGCTTTTGCTTACGTTGCAAGCGCTGCTGCTGCTACCGTTGTTCCTTTAGGCGTCGTCGTTGCTGTTGGCGGTTGCTGCAGGTTCTGCTGCAANCTGCTGCTGCTACCGTTGTTCCTTTAGGCGTCGTCGTTGCTGTTGGCGGTTGCTGCAGGTTCTGCTGCAATGTACGTTGTTTGGGGTGTTCCTGCTTGCGTAGCTGAATGCAGTGCGCTTGCTGATAACGGGGCGGGGGTGCTGGTGTTAGGGTTGCAGAGGTGTCTTGTGTAATTCATCTGTTGCTGTTGTTGAGGATATATCTGTTGTTACTACTGCTTCTGTTGTTGGAGGGGTTGCTGTTTGCTGTTACTGCTGCTGCTGCTGCGCTTGCTGGTGTCGCTGCTGCAGGTTTCGAAGAAGTGAGGCTCTCTGATGGCCGCATGACCTACAAGGAGGCAATTAGCCCCTGCCGCATGACTCAGCTGTCGCAGAACCTTCTGCTTCCTCTTTTGTACAAGGAAGCAGAAGCGCGAGCCTCAAAGGAGGGGGTCGGAGACATCGAGTACGCCCCCGAGGGTGCAACGGCTACGCACGGACACAGGGAGCAGTCACAGCTGGAAGGACCACCACGGGGAGACCGATCAGGGGGCCCTCAACAGAAATACGAAAGGAACCGTCGTGAGACAGACACACCAGAAGCAGCAGCAAGAGGGCAAGAACCGCAGCTAGCGCCCCTTCGCTTGCTGTTGAGCGCACGATGGGAGGGCGCAACGCAGGGGACCACTAGCGGAAACGCAGAGTGCGCCTGCCCCAGCGGTCCAGTGACATCCATGGTGTCTGTAAGAGACAGCGCTAGCAATGTCTCCGTCTGGGAGATAACCAGCGACCTTGTAATTGGCAGCGACGGAGCGGGCTCGAGAGTGCGGGAGTGGGGTGGCGCGTCCCTTGTGGGGGGCCCTCCACTGCAGCACTTCTTAAATGTAACCTTTCGTTCTAAGGAACTGGCCGCGGGGATGGAGCAACACGAAGATGCTCCGGTAAGCGGTGCTCCAAGGAGCTCTCAATCCATCTCAGACTGCGGCTCAAACGAGGGAGCCTTTCACCCAGGTGAGAGTTTATNGAGGTGTTGAGACGATTCAAATGCCGTGGCATGTTGTATTATGTGCTGGGTCATCGGTGTATTGGGGTCGTCGTTTGTCATTGTTTCAAGACCGGTTTGTTTGTGGCTCACATCCCATTCTTCCCACTTAGCCGTGACGATAAGTTGGTGCACTTGGGGCCGGATGGAGACAAAAGACAGGCCATACATCTGATCGAAAGCCTAGCGGGTAGGCGCATCGCCGACATTCAGATTCAGGATGTGAGGCCATGGCAGATGGTCGCAAAGGTAGCAGCCCAATACTTGCCAGGCGGACACTTTTCGCGACATACAGGGAGCAGTTCTAATAGTCCTGGAGAGCTTTTCTCTTCTGCTGGTCTGGAGGCCGAGGAAAACCTTGCGAAAGAGGAGGCCATTCTATGGGGGCCCCTCAGGGGCCGCATATTGCTGGCAGGAGATGCAGCGCACTGCTTACCTCCAGCGGGGGGCCTGGGAATGAACTTAGGCATCGCAGATTGTCTAAATGCCGCCTGGAAGATTGCCCAGTGCTACCATCTCCGACAAGGTCCTTTCGCGCCGTTACAACAACAGCACCAACAACTAAAACAAGGAAAGCAGGAGTGTCAGCAGCAAATGGATCCGGCAGGGAAGATCTTGAGAAGCTATGAAGAAGAACGCAAGCTCGTAGCAGAGGTAATCCCAGAGCTTGACTGGAAGCGCACGCCTCTGTCAGCTTGGCAACGCCAGCAACCACGACAAAGCTGTACCAACCGTCTGTGTCTGTTTGTGCCAGTACACCTGTGCGGTTGCCCGCAAAAATTTCTCGTCTGGACGGTGCATCCCGGAAGTGCTGGGGCTGGACTGGGAGGCAGCTGCAGCAGCAGCACGGGGGCTGGCAGCGGCATCAGACGCTGCAACGTCTGCAATAACAACAGCAGCAGCAGCTGTTGGTCTCCAGGGAATGGCAAAAGCTGCAGGAGATGCGTCAATGCGAATCGCCAAGGGGGTTCTTGAATGCTTCATGAGCATTGGGAGGGCTCAAGTAAGACGACTTGCTACTGTTGTTTCTGCCGCAGCTGCTGGTGTTTGTGTTGTTGTAAATTGTCAGCTTTTGTTTCTGCCTAGCTTATCAAGTGTATCTGCATTCGCTGTTCTCACCAGACATCTATGCATGTTCAAGACTTGTGCTATGTGTAACTGAGGACAGTCTGNTCTGTTTACATTTGCGTTCACTCGTGTGCTTTAGGCAGCCTTTCAAATGGCTTTGGGGCCCATTAGGAGCAAGATGTTGGAGACGATTCGTGTGCTGTTAAGCAGCGATGAGACGCATCTGGGCCTCAGATTCCAGGGTGTTGACTTGGGCTATGCTTACACTAAGTCCGCCCTCATGTGTGACCGCGGGGAGGGGGGGCCTACACTGCAGGTAAGACACACCCTCAGATGCAAACTGGTTTTTATTAAACGACTGAATGCAGAAAAACAGACGGGCATTATGCACTGAGCCGCACGTGACAAAACAGGGAGGGCGAGAGGGCTGCACGCACACAGACAATAGCAGTAAGAGATACCTTTGTCGTAAAGGAAATTGAGCCAGAGTGATTGAGACACACAACGAAGTGAGATGAGAATGGATACATCGTTACTGTTGGTGAATGCCAGGTGTCGGAGTCGCCCTGGCGGCTGGTGCCCACGTCGTGGCTTGGAGCCCGCTTACCTCATGCACCGGTAAAGGCCCTTCTTCATTACAGTGAAAATGAAGCCCCAGCCGGTGCGTGCACATGCCTGTCCCGCTTTTCAAGCATATTCTTGCCTTCCGTAGCTGTTTGTCACTACCTGATTTTAACACTCTCACTTTCGTTACAAGTGCGCTTCACTGTTCGTCAAAAAACAATCTTCTGTAACTGTGGCGACTGCTTCCAGCTAAGCCAGCTGCTGTGGCATCCAGCGCTTCTAGATCGATCCTCGAAAAGGTCCGCGTCAAAAGAGAGAAGCAGTAACACAGGGCGAATGTATTGTCCTTACGACGTTCGCTGCAGCTTATACCTTGTCGACAGTGGATCTACCGGCCCTTGCAGTCCCGTCATGCAGTTACTGTCTCCTTTTGCTTTCTGAATCCCACGAGAGGCGTTTCATTGATGCGTTAAGAAAGTGGGGACACATCCGCAGAGCGGCAGCAGCAGCAGGTGCGCCTGCTTCTCTCCCGCGGTACACAGCTGCAGACTTTGTCTTCGGGATTACATGGACAGCAGAAATTACACATAATACTGCTTCACCACCGGACTGGGCCCCTGGCCCCTTGGAACCTTTCAAACTCAAGCCGAATCTCCTTGCAGTGCTAGGGGCAGGGCCCCCCAAAGCTCGCTTCCCACTTGGCTGGAGGCGTGTGACGAGTCCTCTAGATGTGAAGAGTAAAAACACCTTACACCTTAAACGGCACTGGCAACTATACCTAGTCACCGACGGCTTGGCACTGCCAGTATCAGCAGAGCCCCCCTGCTATATATATATATATATATATATATATATATATATATATATATATATATATATATATATATATAT